GTTCTGGGAGAGGAGGATTTGGAGGGGGGAGAAGATTTATGCTCAGATGAGAAATTTGAGGGGTAGAGGATTCATGCTAGAAGGGGGGATTCGGGAAGGAAGGGATTGTACTAGAAGAGGGGGATTTGTGCGGGAGAGGGGGGCTGGGGGGGGGGGGGTTTGTGCTGAGAGAAGGGGATTTGGAGGTGGGAGATGATTTATGCTCAGAATGGAAATTTTAGGTGTAGAGGATTTGTGCTAGGAGGGGAGATTTGGGCAGGAAGGGGATTTGAGCTGGGAGGGGAGGATTGTACTAGAAGAGGAGGATTTGTGTTAGATAAAGAACTTTAGTGAGATGCTTATTGCGATTTTGGGGGATTTATGCTGGGAGAGGGAGATTTGGAGGGGGGAGAAGATTTATGCTCAGATGGGAAATTTGAGGGGTAGAGGATTCGTGCTTGGAGGGGGATTTGGGAAGGCAGGGGGAGTTGAGCTGGGGGGGGGGGATTGTACTAAGAACAGGGGGATTTGTGTTATAAAAGGAACTTTAGGGGGATGATTATTGTGATTTAGGGGGATTTGTGCTGGGAAAGGAGGATTTGGAGGGAGGGAGAAGATTTATGCTCAGATGGGAAATTTGAGGGGTAGAGGATTTGTGCTAGGAGGGGGGGATTTTTGAAGGATGGGGATTGTACTGGAAGAGGGGGATTTGTGTTAGAAAGGGAACTTTAGGGGGGAGATTTATTGCTAGGAGAGGGTAATTGTGCTGGGGAGGGGGTATTTTGTGTGGGAGAGGCAGATTGTGCTGAGAGAAGGGGATTTGGAGGGGGGGGAGATGATTTATGCTCAGAGCATAAATTAAAGGTGTAGTAGGATTTGTGCTAGGAGGGGGATTTGGAAATGTAGGGGATTTGAGCTGGGAAGGGGGGATTGTACTAGAAGAGGGGGGATTTGTGTTAGAGAAAGGAACTTTAGGGGGATGATTATTGCCATTTAGGGGGATTTGTGCTGGGAGAGGGAGGATTTGGAGGGGGGAGAAGATTTATGCTCAGATGAGAAATTTGAGGGTAGAGGATTCATGCTAGGAGGGGGGGATTCGGGGAAGGAAGGGATTGTACTAGAATAGGGGGGTTTGTGCAGGAGAGGGGGCTGGGGGGGGGGGGGGTTGCTGAGAGAAGGGGATTTGGAGGGGGGAGATGATTTATGCTCAGAATGGAAATTTTAGGTGTATAGGATTTGTGCTAGGAGGGGAGATTTGGGCAGGAAGGGGATTTGAGCTGGGAGGGGAGGATTGTACTAGAAGAGGGAGGATTTGTGTTAGATAAAGAACTTTAGGGAGATGATTATTGCGATTTTTGGGGGATTTATGCTGGGAGAGGGAGATTTGGAGGGGGGAGAAGATTTATGCTCAGATGGGAAATTTGAGGGGTAGAGGATTCGTGCTTGGAGGGGGATTTGGGAAGGCAGAGGAGTTGAGCTGGGAGGGGGGGATTGTACTAGAAACAGGGGGATTTGTGTTATAAAAGGAACTTTAGGGGGATGATTTTTGTGATTTAGGGGGATTTGTGCTGGGAAAGGAGGATTTGGAGGGAGGGACGAAGATTTATGCTCAGATGGGAAATTTGAGGGGTAGAGGATTTGTGCTAGGAGGGGGGATTTTTGAAGGATGGGGATTGTACTGGAAGAGGGGGGGATTTGTGTTAGAAAGGGAACTTTAGGGGGGAGATTTATTGCTAGGAGAGGGTAATTGTGCTGGGAGAGGGGGTATTTGTGTGGGAGAGGCAGATTGTGCTGAGAGAAGGGGATTTGGAGGGGGGGAGATGATTTATGCTCAGAGCATAAATTAAAGGTGTAGAGGATTTGTGCTAGGAGGGGGATTTGGAAAGGTAGGGGATTTGAGCTGGGAAGGGGGGATTGTACTAGAAGAGGGGGGATTTGTGTTAGAAAACGAACTTTAGGGGGATGATTATTGCCATTTAGGGGGATTTGTGCTGGGAGAGGAGGATTTGGAGGGGGGAGAAGATTTATGCTCAGATGAGAAATTTGAGGGGTAGAGGATTCATGCTAGGAGGGGGGGATTCGGGAAGGAAGGGATTGTACTAGAATAGGGGGGTTTGTGCAGGAGAGGGGGGCTGGGGGGGGGGGTTGCTGAGAGAAGGGGATTTGGAGGGGGGAGATGATTTATGCTCAGAATGGAAATTTTAGGTGTATAGCATTTGTGCTAGGAGGGGAGATTTGGGCAGGAAGGGGATTTGAGCTGGGAGGGGAGGATTGTACTAGAAGAGGAGGATTTGTGTTGGATAAAGAACTTTAGGGAGATGATTATTGCGATTTTGGGGGATTTATGCTGGGAGAGGGAGATTTGGAGGGGAGAGAAGATTTATGCTCAGATGGGAAATTTGAGGGGTAGAGGATTCGTGCTTGGAGGGGGATTTGGGAAGGCAGGGGAGTTGAGCTGGGAGGGGGGGATTGTACTAGAACAGGGGGGATTTGTGTTATAAAAGGAACTTTAGGGGGATGATTATTGTGATTTAGGGGGATTTGTGCTGGGAAAGGAGGATTTGGAGGGAGGAGAAGATTTATGCTCAGATGGGAAATTTGAGGGGTAAAGGATTTGTGCTAGGAGGGGGGATTTTTGAAGGATGGGATTGTACTGGAAGAGGGGGATTTGTGTTAGAAAGGGAACTTTAGGGGGGAGATTTGTTGCTAGGAGAGGGTAATTGTGTGGGAGAGGCAGATTGTGCTGAGAGAAGGGGATTTGGAGGGGGGGAGATGATTTATGCTCAGAGCATAAATTAAAGGTGTAGAGGATTTGTGCTAGGAGGGGGATTTGGAAAGGTAGGGGACTTGAGCTGGGAGGGGGGGATTGTACTGGAAGAAGGGGATTTGTGTTAGAAAAGGAACTTTAGGGGGAGATTTATTGCTAGGAGTGGGTATTTGTGCTGGGAGAGGGGGGGTTCGTGCAGGAAAGAGGATTGTGCTGAGAGAAGGGATTTGGAGGGGGGAGATGATTCATGCACAGAGTGTAAATTGAAGGTGTAGAGGATTTGTGCTAGGAGGGGGATTTGGAAAGGTAGGGGATTTGAGCTGGGAGGGGGGATTGTACTAGAAGAGGGGGATTTCTGTTAGAAAAGGAACTTTAGGTGGATGATTATTGCGATTTAGGGGCATTTGTGCTGGGAGAGGGGGATTTAGAGGGGGAGAAGATTTATGCTCAGATGGGAAATTTGAGGGGTAGAGGATTCGTGCTAGGAGGAGGGGATTTTTGAAGGAAGGGAATGTACTGGAAGAAGGGTATTTGTGTTAGAAAGGGAACTTTAGGGGGGAGATTTATTAGGAGAGGGTATTTGTGCTGGGAGAGGGGGATTCGTGCAGGAAAGAGGATTGTGCTGAGAGAAGGGGATTTGGAGGAGGAGATGATTCATGCTCAGAGTGTAAATTGAAGTGTAGAGGATTTGTGCTAGGAGGGGGATTTGGAGGGGGGAGATGATTCATGCTCAGAGTGTAAATTGAAGGTGTAGAGGATTTGTGCTAGGAGGGGGATTTGGAAAGGCAGGGATTTGAGCTGGGAGGTGGGATTGTACTAGAAGAGGAGGATTTGTGTTAATAAATGAACTTTAGGGAGATTATTATTGCAATTTAGTGGGATTTGTGCTCAGAGAAGGGGATTTGGGGGGGGGGGGGGGATGATTTATGCTCAGAGCATAAATTTAAGGTGTAGAGGATTTGTGCTAGGAGGGGGATTTGGAAAGGCAGGGGATATTAGCTGGGAGGGGGGGGATTGTACAAGAAAAGGGGGGTTTGTTTTAGAAAAGGAATTTTAGGGGCATGATTATTGCAATTTAAGGGGATTTTTGGTGGGAGAGGGGGATTTGAGGGGGGGGGGGGGTTGTGCTGGGAGAGGGGGATTTGAAGGGGGGAGAAGATTTATGCTCAGAGAGGAAATTTGAGGTGTAGAAGATTTGTGCTAGGAGGGGGATTTAGGAAGGAAGGGGATTTGAGCTGGGTGGGGTGAATTGTAATGGAAGAGGAGGAATTTTTGTTTGGGGAGAATTTTGGCTAGCAAAGGGGAATTTATGCTTAGGGGGTAAGTGTGAAGATTAGTTCAGCAAAAGGGGGGGGGGGGGGATTTTTACTGACACATAATTTCTCATACATGTTGGGGGGGAGGGGTCGTCGTCTGGCATCCTCGACCTGGTGTAGACCAACATTGATAAATTTGGTGTGGGCATCTAGGCTTCAGTGACCCTTGGACCTTAAGGGGTTGATTTTCCATGTTTTTCTGGGGAACATCTTACCACGCTCTTCCTCTTTTTCTCCTGAAATGTTCCGCGCCGCGCCGTTTCCTTTCCCCGCGTCAGCAATACGGCGAGAAGAAAGTGTGTTTTAATTGCCACACTCACACCAAGGTTGTCTAAAGGGTATTATCAACTTTCCCCAACACTTTGAAATGCGTTTGCCTGTGAACTACGAAAAGGAGCGGCTCCTTTCCAAACTCCGGGGCCGGCTTGCTGATCAAAGTAAACGACAATTAATATTATTCCTGAAATGCTATAGCATGACCTTAAATAATAGATGACTCCATTTCTAAGATACAATGATTAAAATCTACGACGGAGCCTGACGCTCGCCTTCTGCTAGCGCTGATTGATGCCCTTGTGCGCACCGGGAAGGACGGAGTCTCAGATGTTGACTCCGCACCCAGCGGTGATGCACAATGCACTTGGCAGGTCGGAGGAAAGCAATTTTTGCAGGGCTCCTTAGTGCCCGCTGAGCTGTGATGATTGGGGGTCAGGAGGGCCACCGGGATGACCTCCGTTTGGCTCATAAACTGCAGTTTAGGCAGAATTCCTCCAATTCTTGAAAGTGAACCTGCCCTTAAAGTGACACATTTATCGAAATATCAAAAATGTTACAAAATCTAATTCAGTATATACACAATACAAAGGTCACTTTTACCTAGTAACTGAGATTTGTACTATGAATATTCGTCTGTAAATCCTCCCTCCAGCCTTCCCCTCAGTCTTGCACAGGTGGAGCGGCTCCTCCCCTTCAGTCTTGCACAGGTGTACCAGCTCCTACCCCTCCCTCCTCTTGCACAGGTGTACTGCTCCTCCCCTCCAGTCTTGCACAGGTGTACCAGCTCCTCCCCTTCAGTCTTGCACAGGTGTACTGGCCCCTCCCCTCCAGTCTTGCACAGGTGTACCAGCTCCTCCCCTCCAGTCTTGCACAGGTGTACCAGTCTCCCCTTCAGCTTGCACAGGTGTACTGGCTCCTCCCCTCCAGTCTTGCACAGGTGTACCGCTCCTCCCCTCCAGCCTTGCACAGGTGTACCAGCTCCTCCCTTCAGTCTTGCACAGGTGTACCGGCCCCTTCTTGCACAGGTTACCAGCTCCTCCCCTCCAGCTTGCACAGGTACTGTCTTGCACAGGTGTACGGCTCCTCCCCTCCAGTCTTGCACAGGTGTACCAGCTCCTCCCCTTCAGTCTTGCACAGGTGTACCGGCTCCTCCCCTTCAGCCTTGCACAGGTGTACCGGCTCCTCCCCTCCAGTCTTGCACAGGTGTACTGGCTCCTCCCCTTCTCAGTCTTGCACAGGTGTACTGGTTCTCCTCCATCCAGTCTTGCACAGGTGTACTGGCTCCTCCCCTTCAGTCTTGCACAGGTGTACTGGCTCCTCCCCTTCAGTCTTGCACAGGTTTACCGGCTCCTCCCCTCCAGTCTTGCACAGGTTTACCGGCCCCTCCCCTTCCAGTCTTGCACAGGTGTACCAACTCCTCCCTTCAGTCTTTCACAGGTGTATCAGCTCCTCCCCTTCAGTCTTGCACAGGTGTACCGGCTCCTCCCCTTCAGTCTTGCACAGGTGTACTGGCTCCTCCCCTCCAGTCTTGCACAGGTGTACCAGCTCCTCCCCTTCAGTTTTGCACAGGTGTACCGGCTCCTCCCCTTCAGTCTTGCACAGGTGAACCAGTCCCTCCCCTTCAGCCCTGCACGGTGTACTGGCTCCTCTCTTGGACTGAATCTGCTTCCTCTGATGTCACTGAACACTGTGAGCTTCTCACAATGTGCATTAGAAGCTGCAGCAAGCCAGATAGAGCTCCACCTCATTTCCTGGCTGGAGGACGTCCAGCATATTCCCGAGCTTTCCTCCCCAGCCTGACTATCCTTGGGCCAACCCCTTTCATTCATTGGAATTAAAGCGGAGCTCCATCCAAAAGGGATCAGCTTTAAACCTTTTTCCCCTGCTCTCATTAATTATTCACACATTTGGGGAGCAGGTACCCGCTCCCACTTTCGCTGCGATCGCCTAGGCCCCCCTCCCTCCCCGTAGTCTTCTAGGACACGTGACAAGTCCCAGAAGACTATGGGACCATTCACAAAGCACAGCACTTCTCACGCATGCGCAGTGGGCACCCGGCTGGGAAGCCGCACGTTGTCATAGCCGGGTGCCCACACTGAAGATGACGGCGCCAGGGAGAGAAGAAGGCGGTGAAACCAGACGTGGTGAGGACACCACGGGACCGAGGGACAGGTAAGTGGCTGTATATTAAATGTCAGCAGCTACAGTTTTTGTAGCTGCTGACTTTTATTTATTTATTTTTTTAGTTGGAACTCCGCTTTAAGTTCTCTCAATCATGGAGGTTCAGCGTCACATGAGGGCGTTACCTATGCAGCCTGCCTAGGAACACCCACTCCTCTAAACTGACATCCACCCATCAAGGCATTTTTTGCATTTTCATAACTCTTCCCAAGAGCCAGCCCACTGCTTGCATCAGGGCCCCTCCCACCAGCTATGATCTGCTTGCTTTGCCTAGAGAAGCACAGGTGCACAGTGATGACATCTAAAATAAGGTATGTGTTGGAAACAGAAAGGTTTTATTCAAAAAGATCATTAGCATGTTGACAGGAGGAGGAAAGAAAGAGTATAGGCAGGTTAAAAAAAAAAAAAAAAAAAAATATATATATATATATATATATATATATATTTTTTTTTTTTTTTTTTTTCCCCTTAATACTTTTTAGCAAGGAAAAATGTTTGCATCTGTTTTTAGCTTTACCTGCTTTCAGTTGGGATTTAATGCAGATGTAACTTCAATGCTAAAATCGCATTCAATCTTTAACAAGCTAGTGGGACAAGTGTGCTATTAACCTGTTAAAGATTGAATGAGAATTTAGTGATGAAGTTACATCTGCATTAAATCCCAACTCAAAGTAAGTAAAGCCAAAAATAGATGCAAAAATGTTTCCTTGGTAAAACATAAAAAAAAGAAACAATATATTGTACAGCCATTTAATTGTAGCCATATTAGTGCATTATTGAAACCAGGGCTTTTTTCTCAGAGAATAGGTGCAGGTTCTCTCACTTTTGAGTCTCCTCTTGTTTCCCTCCCTACCCACCTCTGAGTAATGTCCTTTGGTTCCACCCCTACCCACCTCTGAGCAATGTCCTTTGGTTGCACCCCCTACCCACCTCTGAGCAACATCCTTTGGTTGCACCCCCTACCCACCTCTGAGCAACATCCTTTGGTTGCACCCCCTACCCACCTCTGAGCAACGTCCTTTGGTTCCACTCCCTACCCACCTCCGAGCAATGTCCTTTGGTTGCACCCCCTACCCACCTCTGAGCAATGTCCTTTGGTTGCACCCCCTACCCACCTCTGAGCAACGTCCTTTGGTTCCACTCCCTACCCACCTCTGAGCAATGTCCTTTGGTTGCACCCCTTACCCACCTCTGAGCAATGTCCTTTGGTTGCACCCCCTACCCACCTCTGAGCAACATCCTTTGGTTCCAACCCCTACCCACCTCTGAACAATGTCCTTTAGTTCCACCCCCTACCCACCTCTGAGCAATGTCCTTTAGTTCCAACCCCTACCCACCTCCAAGTAATGTCCTTTGGTTCCACCCCCCTACCCACCTCTGAGCAACGTCCTTTGGTTCCACCCCCTACCCACCTCTGAGCAAAGTCCTTTGGTTCCAACCCCTACCCACCTCCAAGTAATGTCCTTTGGTTCCACCCCCTACCCACCTCTGAGCAATGTTCTTTGGTTGCACCCCCTTCCCACCTCTGATCACTGTCCTTTTGTTCCACCCCCTACCCACCTCTGAGCAATGTCTTTTGTTTCCACCCCCTACCCACCTCCGAGCAATGTCCTTTGGTTCCACCCAGGGGTAGACTAACAACTCATGGGGCCCCAGGGCAATAGGGGATCATGGGGCCTCTGTGTCCTCGCCCACACTCAAACCACACCCAAAAAAGCCTATGAAAGATACCAGGGGCATCTCATGGGGCCCCCTACTGACCCCGGGCCCTCGGGCAGTGCTCGAGTACCCGAATGGTCGTGCCGCCACTGGTTCCACCCCCCCCTACCCACCTCTGAGCAAAGTCTTTTGGTTCCACCCCCTACCCACCTCCGAGCAATGTCCTTTGTTTCCAACCCCTACCTACCTCTGAACAACACCCTTTGGTTCCATCCCCTACCCAACTTCTAATACTACCTCCTATGGAGAATACAGAACAAAATATAACTTTTGTGTTGCTAAGTAATTTGTAAAGAATGTGCCAATGATAAAAAGAAAAACAGCAAAATGGATCCCCTGCAGTCAGCAACAATAGACCCTCCCCCAGCAACAAAATATCCCCCAGCAACAATAGACCCCTGCCAGCAACAAAATACCCCCCAGCAACAATAGACCCCCCCAGCAACAAAATACCCCCCACCAACAATAGACCCCCCCACCAACAAAATACCCCCCCAGCAACAATAGACCCCCGCCAGCAACAACAGATCTCCCAGCAGCTAGCAATGTTAGACCCTTCCCTCAACAGTAGATCCCCCCGCAACAATATTCCTTTCCAGCAAATAATAGATGCCCCTCGCAACAATAGATTCCCCCCAGCGGCAATAGATGCCCCCGCACATAGCATCAATAGACCCTTCTGCACACCCCAGAACCCCTTACCATTACATGCATTCAGTGCTGGAGGTGCTGAAGGTGCCGGAACTGCGTTCCCCCACGTTCTCACTCAAAAAAATCCATGATTAAAACTGTTGTTTGAGTTTTGTTAAGTATATTGTTGATATAAACAGCACATCACTGATGTCTAAAAGGGAGGATAAAATTAGAAATCCATGAAGCGTGTTGCTATGTGGAGGTACATTCAGTTGGAAGGAGTGAGATAGTTGTGGCCAGATCCATCTCTACGATATCTCATTTTTATGTTAGTTGGGTGGAGGTGAGGATAACGGGTAATGTGGGTCACTAAGGGAGCTTAAAGTGCCATAACAATGGAAGAAGGGGTAGGGGTGGGGAAGAAGAGGTTTAAACTGGAGAGATGGCAAGATTTGGAGTAAGTGGGATTAAGGATGAAGAGATGGAAATGGAGTTAGAGTGATAAGGAAGGAAGGGAGATATAGAGAGGACAGTGGATCAGCAATTCGAAGTAGAAGGGGTGGGAGTTGGGGGGACTCTAAAAGGCCAAATAGGATGTTTACATTTCTTAGGCCAGGGGTCTCTGACCTTTATATCCAAAGGGCCAGTTTACTTCCCCTCAGACTTTCGGGGGGGGGGGGGGGAGGGTCAGAATGTGGCCAACGGGTGTAGAATATGTCCCAACAGCAAGTAAACAATGCCTCAGGCTCAGTGAGAGGAATTCCCCATCTTTACTGTTAGTGGAAGGAATGGTGCCTATTGGTATCAGTGGCAAGACTAGAACCATGTATCAATAAGAGGAATAATGCATCATATCAGTAGAAGGAAGAGTGCCCCAAGGGCTGGATAAAGGAAAGCAAGGGTCTGCATTCCAGCCCTTGGGCCAAAGTTTGGAGACCACTTTCTTAGGCTGACCATACACTACAGAACCTGATGTACAATGTCCTTTAGATCTACTATTAGGTGTAGCGCTACCCCCAGGAGTTGCAGTAGTTTTGGGTCCACCTATAGTCCTGCACAGCCAGGTAAAATGCATTTCCACATTTACTTGCATCCGGGAGACAGTAGCCTGTCCTTGAGCTTTGTTTTGAAGTTTTATTAGGGGACAGGAGGACAACTTTCTGGAACTATATTCAAGTTATTTACAGCAAAAATACTCTTCTTGGAGAGTTAGCCAGCGTATCCGGTTGTCCCCCCCCCCCAGACCCTAGATTCTCCTAATCCAGCCAATCTGAGTGAATTTCCTGAGCAGGGATCCAGTGCCTATTGCTTTAAGGTAAGATAGTCCTGGTTAGTTGCTAATCTGGTTTCCCACCAGAGTGATCCTTCCCCTTTCTGGCCCAGTTGATGCAGGTCTACTCACTCAGTCCTCCTGTGTTGCTGGTGGGTTGGTGGCTGCTACCAGGCCTTCTAGCTGGGCTGCTCCTTCCCTGTCACACACATGGTGCTCTCTCTGGGGACTGGTGAAGTCCCAAGCTTTCCTCCTTTCAAGCTTCGTGCCTGGAGGTGAGCCCCTCTCCATCTGGGCCCCTTCCCAGGCTCCTGCTCTCACTCCCCCTTGCTCTCAGCGGGCTCAGTTACTCTTAAACGCTGTTCTGGCCCCCTGCCAAGCTTCCTCTTGGGGATCGGCCAAGATCCTCTAAGAGTACAGACCAGCCACTCCTCACCTCCACCCACTGCTTCTAGATCTTTCTCCAAAGTTCTAGAACAGGGAAGAATCCCAGAGAGCTGGTCTGCAGAGCCTTTCAGCTCTAACTGCAATCCAACCCACCTGGCTATCACAACCAGGCTGCTACTCAGCCCTCCTCACTAATAATTAAGCAAGAGCTCCCCCTAGCTGACTAGGAGGGTGCTACATAGGGATGAGCTGGGTTCAGTCTGAATTTGAACCAAATCCAGTTTATCAGAACGCATGGAAAGATGTCACGTGGTCACATCCTCACTGGCCCAATCAGCTGTGCCCTCATTGCCTTGCAGTTGCATGCACACAA